GATCGCCTCCTTCGTGGCTTTGTTTCAGAACCAGTGTTAGACTAGAGGCTGCCAAGAGGAGTACAGTACAAGGAAAATGCAAACCCTACAATTATTAACAGCTCTGGTTAAGCAGTTATATCTATGGGGCCCTTTTTGCCGGTCTCATTTAATACCTTTATACTGGTGTAAGGATAAATCTTGACATAAAGCTTTCGTGACTGCAGGAATCATATTCTTTGGGTTTTTCGGTAAAATCACGTAGATAAGTAAAAAAAAATGACAAAAACTAGGACGTTTCGATCGCAACACAAGCGATCGTCATCAGGTGGAGATCATGATGATGATCACTTGTGTTGCGATCGAAACGTCGAAGTGTTTTCTATTTTTTTTAACCTATCTGCGTGACTTTACAGAAAGACCCAAAGGATATGGTGTAAGGATGTTAAGACATCCTTGGATAGCGATTCCGTAAGACATGGGGGTGACATGGATATCATAAACACCATAACCACCACGAAGGGGCGCTACTGCATAAGGATAGCGAGGATGTGGCCTTCTAGATGGTTATTGGTTATAACGTTTGAAAGAGGGAGAAGGCGGGGATATTTGAAAAAGGCAATGGGCGAGGATCCATCGGGGACTGTTCGAAGGGCAGCAGAGGGATTGGTTAGAAGGACAGCATGGGCTAGGATTGGAGAGGGGGATAGGTAGAGGGAGGGGGGAACGAGGGGCGCTTGGGAGATAGAAGCAAGGGAATGTAGTTGGCTGGTGGTAGGCACTGGATGTTGTTGTTGTTAAGGACAATAAACTTCATCCTTTGGAGTCCTTCACTGCACTGACAAAAAGGGTGCCAAAGAGGCATATTTATGATTTTTTCATTAAAGTATTTTTCTGTAAAAGTGAGATTCAATAACTCCACTCACACTGGAGCAACTACTCACCTCCATAACAAAGTTTACAAATCACTGCCGTTAAGGTTTGTGAAGTGACGATTCTGTAATCTGTAAAGTGTATTCCTGAATGTGATTAAAGTGCACTCCCAAACTATTTTATTGTACTGGTGTTTTTGTTGTTGTTCTCTCGCTGAGATCGCAACGTCCGTCATTCTTACCAAACGCCATCGTACGAAAAAAACCCTTAAAGAAGAACCGACCTCGTGGTGTTTTTTTGAAACGTCGGAGTGCAGGCGCCTCTGGGTTTGTGTGCATTACAAAGCTGCATCTGTCGCAGAAGCAAAAAGGGATGCTCGCGTTGTGAACACCGATTCTCAATACACCAAAACCTTGCCCATCATGGGCGGGTTCATCATCATCAGCATCACGATCTATGTTAAGATAGCCCCGTAGTCGTTGGTATCTAGTGCACATTTTGTAATTTGTTTCCACTTTCATCTGTCTTGTAGTGCCAATATACTGAAGTAGTGCACATTATAGCAGTGTATAGTGTAGTGTATAGTCGTTTGTAGTGGATTGTAAGTGTCGTGTATATCCCAGTGTATAGTGCAGTGCATCATCATCACGATCCACTGACAGATAGCCCCGGAGTAGTTGGTGTCCACTGCACATTTTGTAATTTGTTTCCACTTTCCTTTTTCTTGTAGTGCCAATATACTCAAGTAGAGCCACATCATGTAGAGCAGCCAAATCACTCGGAACGCGTGACCTTGATTCCAAATGTGGAGGGGAAAAAGCGGAGGACCCGGAGAAAAATCCACGCGACCACGAGGAGAGAGAGACGCAAACTCCAAATCTTCACCAGCAGGCACCCTCAGGGTTGGGATTGAACCCACGACTTCCTGCATATCCGGCGAGGTAGTGAACGTCTCCTAGCCACCGTGATGATGAGGGAGAGACGCAGACTCCACGTTTACAGCAGCAGGCATTGTCAGGGTCGGGATCCAACCCACGACCTCCTGTAGACTAGTCGAGGCAGTTCGCATCTCGCCACGCTCGTCGACGTTGCAGTGCTACTGAACATCACCGTTCGACAGTCGTGAGCTGCACGCAAACGATAGTCTTCCAATCGTCGAGCATGGTGGCCATCGCTCGACCGGTAAGCTGCGTGCAACATTAGCTCCAATAATATACAGCTGTTAAATCGATATTACTTGAATGTCGATCGACTGACAGGAACTCGGTAATGTTCATTGACTGTCGATTGAGTTGTTGGTGGAAATGAAGATGCGCACAGTGAAGACTTTGACATTGAAGTTGATTTAAATATATAAAATACTGGTAATACTGTGTAACACGATTTCGGTTCCTGGGTAGTAAATGTTATTTTCTAATTGCTTATGCCTCAAAAGTACAGAACATGGCTATTATTCTCCATAAACTTTGCTTTTGTGACCAGGACTTTATGTGAACGAAAGATACAAATGCACACGTTTTCTCAATAAAAATAGGTAAATTTCAAAATATCACAGTCCTTTTGAGGCATAAGCAATTAGGAAATAACACTTACTACCCAGGGACAGAAAGAACATGTGTTACACAGTGTAATCATTGCATGTAGATGATCAACACTGGTGCTTAGTCCCACCAACAGGGAAATTGGGAAGCGGTGCTGTGACGTGGAGGGTTTTTGTGATCGCTATTGAAGGTACGAGATGCTCACTTGTTTTTGAGTTGTTCAGGTGACCACCGACTTACGACGGCTCGACTTGCGACCCCAAGCTCCTACGACGTTTCTTATCGTAATTAGGACCCCCATGGTAAAGAACACAACTCGTATCTACGACCACCTAACGACTGCTATCGATTGGCGACGAGTCTGCGCATGTTATGCGCAGCTTTGCACCACCGCCGTGTGCGTGTGTACAGTGTAGCCCGACACTCTGCAGCTGCGCTGAGAGCGAATGCAGCGGCGTCGCTTTCGCAAAGTTCTTCACTCTTATTGTTTGGGTCTTTCGGTAAAGTCACGTAGATAGGTTGAAGTAAAAAGTCACGTAGATAGGTTGAAATAAAATATTTTATTTCAACCTATCTACGTGACTTTACCGAAAGACCCAAACAATATGAATTACTGCAGTCACGAAAGCTTTAAGTCAAGATCTCTTTACTCTTCAGTAAATCTTGATTTGAAGATTGTAAATTTTCTTCAATGTTTTTTTCACCTTTCGCTTTTACGTCTGAGGAGAGGAAATGTGGTGCACGTGCAGAAAAATATTCATATTGTACATAATGGGTTTCCAGTAACGGAACCCAAATGTATAACATTGCGCCTACGGGAAACGAGGGGTTCGACTTACGACGGTTCGACTTGCGGCCGTTGCCCAGGAACCAATTAGGTTGTAGGCGCGGGGGTCGCCTTTAGATTGTTTGCCGTTTTTGCGCGGAAATCTAATAATAAAATGGCGTTGCGCCTCGTGCCTAGTTACTTTATTATTACAAGTCTAGAGACACAGTTGGGTGTCTCTGTGGGTCGCGCTGAGGGCACGTGACTGGAAGCGCGCCTCGATTGGACGAGCTAAGTTCTAGAGATGGGCGGGACAGCTGATGTTAATGTGAACCTTTATAAACAGCTGGCCCTCAGAGGCGAACCTCCCTGTTCCTGATGACGACCGCTTGTGTTCTGATCGAAACGTCGTGATATTTTTTTATTATTTTTTATTCACTTAATTTTCAATTTAGTTATTTTTTTATTATAATTTTTTTTATGTCTACGTGACTTCACCGAAAGAACCATAGAATGCGAATTCCTGCAGTCACGAAAGTTTTAAGTCGAAACTGTAACAGACTGTTGGGGCAAGTGCTCTTAGTCGCGAGCAGCAGCGCCCTGTGGCAACACGAGGGTGGTGGGTGGCCAGCACCACGCCCGGCCGCCTTTGTCTCCCCCAGTGGCGATGTTTACGACACCACACCCGCCCTCTTACCCTGAGGCTGCACCCATCTCAGGCCTACAATAGACCTTGTTTCAGTGGCTTTCTCTCTCTCACCTGAAGACGGTCGCTTGTGTTGCGATTGAAACATCGTGATCTACTCATTTGCTTTCTACGTGACTTTGGGGCTGTCTATGAATGACGTCACGCACCTGGGGGGGGGTGGGGGTTGATAAATGTGACGTCAGATCAAAATGGTCAACTTTAAATAACTATAGACAACACGTTCTACTTAATTAAATATTTTTTTTAAGTAAATGTTTTCTCCTACAACATCAGACAATAGTTTAAAGCGGTTTGAAGCATGTTTTATGTTTTTGGTGGGGGGGGTGGGGGGGGGGGGCAGAGCTTTGTGACGTCATATTTGAGGGGGGGCTGACTTTTTGTGACGCCGTGTGCCGACGGGGGGGGGGGGGGGGGGGTCAAAAATCGTCCAAAATCGCGTGACGTCATTTATGGACGCTCCCATTACCGAAAGAATCAAAGGGTATGGATTCCTGCAGTCACAAAAGCTTCAAATGAAGATGGCACCACACCATTGCACAGGTAATTATTTTGAGGTTGAGCGACGCACACACACACACTCTGGTGTTGTGTGTGCACGAGGAGCGATAGGGTTGGACTTTGCGTGTTCCACAGCTAATTACAAATATCCAGAATTCATTTGAGGCTTCTGACCACAATGGGGATCACTTATCAGACGAATCCAAGCAAAACAAAGACAAAGATCCCCCTTGTAGCCTGTAACAGACTTTTGGGGCAAGTGCTGTTAGCAAGCAGCACCTATGAAGGCCGGCACGGCACACGAGGGGGTGCGTGGTCCAACGCCACGTCCGGCCGCCTTTGTCTCCCCAGTGGCGATGCTTTTACGCACCGCACCAGGTACTCATTTGAGGCTGAGTCGACCCAGGGGAGGTTCAGATAATGGCCACTGGGTGTTGGTGGCCGTGAGCGGGAATAGAACTCGGGTCGCCGGGTGCGCAGAGCGGCGTTGCGCTGACCACTCGCACCACCGCTCCCCCACCACCACCATCACTTGTCAGACGAATCCGGGGTTAATCACAGGCGTCGTGACACCCGTGGTGGGGGTCTCGTGGTAGGGTCCCGTGGTGGAGTCCCGTGGTGGGGTCCCGTGGACACCCCACAACGGGGGTCTGGGCATTGCTGCTGCTCTAAGGGACCTCCGCGTGAACGTTTTAGACTTGAGTCATTTAGCAGTCTCTCTCTCTCTGTGTGTGTGGACGTGTCTATATAAACAGGCTGTGTGTGTGTGTATAGATAAGTAACTCACAATTGTCTGTCCGCCCGTCATACTCTGTATCACCCAAACGGTAAGTGACACCTAATAGAGGTAGTTCTTTTTTTGAGGGGGATGGTTAGAACGCGTAAATGTAAATGTTGTGTCGTTAAATCTGCCACCACCCGACGTAGCCAATCAGTAAAAGGGTGGCGTGTCACGTCAACAAAACGTGGCCAATTCGTTACTGAGTACAGCACCGACCGGTTGTTGTGTGTTGGAGAGTCAAACCCACAACCACCACTAACACAACTACAACCACCACCACTACTACTACTACCATCACCACCACTACCACCACTACTACCACTAACACCACTAGAACCACCACCACTACTACTACCACCACCACTAACACCACTACAACCTCCGCTAACACCACTGCAACTACCACCACTACTACTACCATCACCACAACTACCACCACCACTAACACCACTACAACCACCACCACTACTACTACCATTACCACCACTAACACCACTATAACCACCACCACTACTACAACCACCACCACTATTACTACCACCACCACCACTAACACCACTACAACCACCACTAACACCACTGCAACCACCACCACTACTACTACCATCACCACCCCTACCACAACCACCACTAACACCACTACAACCATCACCACTACTACTATCACCACCACTACCACCACCACTAACACCACTGCAACAACCACCACTACTACCACCACCACTAACACCAATACCACCACTGCTACTACCACCACTAACACCCCCCCAACTATCCCCGCAGGGAGTGACTGGCGATGTCTCGCCTCTGGCTGCTGCTGCCGCTGCTGCTGCTGCTGAGCCCGCACGCAGCGGCAGCTGCTGGTGCCCAGGAGGAGCCGGGCGTGGCGGAGTGCCCGGGGCAGCGCTGCCCCTGCGCTGGCGGTGGCGCCGCGGGCATCCCCGGACTGCACGGGCAGCTCGGAGCCACGGGCAGAGACGGCAGGGACGGCAGGGACGGTGAGGCGGGGAATTAGGGCTGAGTTATTGCGTCGGTGGCGGTAGTGGTAGTGGTGGGCTGGTGGTAGTAGTGGTGGTGGTAGTGGCGTTGATCGTAGTGGCGGTGGTTTTAGAAGTGGTGTTAGTAGTAGTGGTGGTGATGGTAGTAGTGATAGTGATGGGTTGTTGGTGGTAGTCGTAGTGGTGGTATTGGTGGTGGTAGTTGTTGTTATAGTAGTGGTGATGGTAGTAGTGATCGTGGTGAGTTGGTGGTGGTAGTGGCGGTGGTGGTAGCCGCGGTGGTGGTAGTGGTGGTAGTAGTAGTAGTGATAGTGGTGGGTTGGTGGTAGTAGTCATAGTGGTGGGTTTGTGGTAGTAGAAGTGGCGATTATGATGATGAGCATCGGGGAGCGGTGGTGTAGTGGTCAGCGCTACGCAGCGCTACGAACCTGGGGACCCGAGTTCGATTCCCGCTCACGTGACAATGTATAAGCCGTGAAACGAAGCCTCAACCCTCACGCTGTTGCCGGGCGGGTGTTGGCTGAACCCCCCGCCCGGGACAGACGGGTGAGCGGGTTTGAGGCAACGTAGGTGAGGGCAGCAGTGGAGATGCGGAGTCGCTGAGTGCGGAGCTGCTGAGTGTGGAGTCGCTGAGTGTGGAGCTGCTGAGTGCGGAGTCCTTGAGTGTGGAGCTGCTGTGTGCGGAGTCGCTGAGTGCGGAGTCGCTGAGTGCGGAGTCGCTGAGTGCGGAGCTGCTGTGTGCGGAGTCGCTGAGCGTGCAGCTGCTGTGTGCGGAGTCGCTGAGTGTGGAGCTGCTGAGTGTGGAGTCGTTGAGTGCGGAGCTGCTGAGTGCAGAGTCGCTGAGTGTGGAGCTGCTGTGTGCAGAGTCGCTGAGTGCGATGTCGCTGAGTGCAGGATAAGTGAGGTGCAGAAGAGATAAGAGCGGGGAGAAGTCAAGTGTATGTGACCGTACAGATAGTTGTAGGAGTGCCTACAACTGGCGCAAGAACAGGTGAATAAAGTGTAAGCAGGTGACTTGTTGCAACGTGTCGGTGTGAGCAATTTTTGAAGACGCTACAAATGTAAGCGTAGCTCTTACGTAGCCACTTACAGCGCGGTTTACATTTTGTTTAAATGAAAAAGCCTTAGGATTACGTCCCGACGTTTTATTTGAATTTAATTCACATCAAATATTGGAGTGGTCCCCCCCTCCCACCTGACCAGGTCTCAGAGTACACGGCGGGGGTCAGGTTGTGTTTACCCCCCCCCCACCACCGCGTAAGTTCGAATTGGCTTAAGTTGACTATACAAGTGTACAGTAAAATTTTGATTTAAAGATTTCGTGACTGCAGGGATTCATATTCTTGGTTCTTTCGGTAAAGTCACGTAGAAGGGAAACAATAAAATAATAAAAATATTAAACACCACTACAACCACTCAGCTGTCTCAGTGTCTCAGCTGTCTGTTTTTTGTTTAATATTTTTATTATTTTATTGTTTCCCTTCTACGTGACTTTACCGAAAGAACCAAGAATATAAGTATACAGTAGATACAATGTATACATTTACTGTGATATAATACTACTTTACTATACACTACCATATTACTATATACTACTACTACACTCTACAGCTATATTACTATACAATGCCATACTACACTACTATATTACTATACACTACTATACTATACAACTACATTACTATACAATACTATACTACACTACAATATTACTATATACTACTACACTATACTGCTATATTACTATACACTGCCATACTACACTACTATATTACTATACACTACTATACTATACTACTATATTAATATACAATACTATACTGCACTACAATATTACTATATACTACTACTACTACACTGCTATATTACTATATACTGCCATACAACACAACTATATTACTATCTACTACTACTACTATATTATTATACACTTCTATATTACTATATACTACTACACTACACTACTACTTTACTATACACTATTATATTACTATATACTACTACTACCCTATACTACTACTTTACTATACACTACTATATTACTATATACTACTACACTATATACTGCCATACTACACTACTATATTACTATACACTACTATATTACTATACACTAGGACTACTACTACACTATACTACTACTTTACTATATGTAGTGTTGTAAGGACGAGCAGACTTCTTTAGGAGGCACACTCTGTTTATTGTTTTATTTCCTTATACAACGCTTAACACACACAGAGGGAAATTCGGTCCCCTCACCCGATACCCTAGGGAGGTACAGCCTCCGGACCTGGCGGGACTCACACGCCTACCACTAACCTCCTTGATACCTAAGGAGGTGCACAGCCTCCGGACTTGGCGGGACTCACACGTCTACCGCTAACCTCCTTGATACCTAAGGAGGTACAACCTCCGGACTTGGCGGGACTCACATGTCTACCGCTATCCTAGTCCTCCGGCTAGGACCTAGGGGAGGCTATCTGACCCACCGCTGGCCCGGTGGGTCCTGACCACTGGGTATGCCGAGCCTTAGCCCTTAGAAGGGCTGGGAGGCTGGTCCAGGGTCCAAGCTAGGCTTCAGCCCAGTCTTCTGTCTTCGTGCAGGGAGAGAACTCCCCGAGGTCCGTTGGGTCACCCGTCTTATATCCCTTCGTGGCCAGGTAGAACCAATCATACATTCCCACGTGGAACCGTCTGATTGGTTCGCACCAAACCCTGGCCACGATCCGTTTCACCTCGACTGACCCCAACCGTTGTACCCAGGGGTAATGCTGCACTGCCCTGGTGGCAATGCAGGTTACGCAACAGCGCGTAGTTAACACCTCTACATATAGACTACTATATTACTATATACTACTATTACACTATACTACTATATTACTATACACTGCGATACTACGCTACTATCTTACTACGCTACTATCTTACTATACTCCTATATTACTATAGACTACTAGACTACACTATGTTACTATATACTACTATATTACTATGCACTACTATACTACACTATACTACTATATACTACTATATTAATATACACTACTACACTATATGACTATATAACTACTATATTACTATACACTACTAAATTACTACACACTACTATACAGTTTATATTCTACTATATTACTATGAGTCTTTATACACAATGTAAGAGTGTATATAAATGTTTAATGAATGACAGCAATGTACAGTAAATGATTCACTAATCATCGGTAGCATTCACATCAGATCTAACACCTTTTTTTGGGACTCTTTTCTTTCACGGGCGTTGACTACACGCCGTCAAATCCATCGCTCGCGTGATGGCAAGGGGCAGCGGATGATTTGACGAGTCACAAAGTGTAAGCGTGAATCTGGGAGGGGGGGTGGCGGTCGGTCGCGTGTGAGTGGATCCGCGTACTCTGAGCCCTTTACTCTAAATTCTATTTTTTAACTCCAAGAAATGTGGGCCATTGATTGTGACCACTGAAGCAAGGCGACTCGATGAACATTAAAAAAAACAACGTAAATTTAATTTGCAGGGAGCGCCGGTCCACCCGGACCAAAGGGAGATGTCGGGAATCCCGGAGTCGACGGAGCGAAAGGAGAGACCGGTGAGAGTGTGGATGACCTCCTCGCAACGGCGTTACGGCAAGATCCGACACCGGTGGCCCGTCCGGTGCTCGCGCGAGCTTCGTTGGATTTCGATTTAAAGCTTTCGTGACTGCCAGGATTCATCTTCTTTGATTCTTGCGGTAAAGTCACGTAGAATGAGAATAAAATAATAAATTAAAATAATTTATTTATTCTCATTCTACGTGACTTTACCGAAAGAACCAAAGAAGAGCTTCGTTGGCTTCGGGTTGCCAAGCGAATATCCAGCGGCGTTGTTCTGAGGTCGCACTCGTTACACCGCGCAGAGCTCTTGCCAAGAGCGAACCGCTAAACAGCGCTGATGATCTCGCCAAAGGAGCGTTAACCATTTTTACGTGAACTCTGCTCGTCCGAGCAGCAGTGAGTGCTTTTGGCTCCGCCATGGAACAAAGACGGTCACCGCATTGCGCACTTTCAGGAACGCTCTTCTGATGTTAGGAAGCCACCGGGGCCATGCCATTTTAAATGTATAATTATGATTTTTTTCTTCAGAACTGCTTTTTGTGTTTAGTTTGTTGCCCTTCCCCTGCACCTTCGATCTGCACGGTTGGAAACGTACGGTGCGAAAGAAGCTCAGCAAACATATACGCATACACATGCCGAATTTCACATGTGCAGGTTTTCCGGGGCGGCCCGGGATGCAGGGCATGGGACAGCCTGGCATGAAGGGCGACCCAGGTGACTGCGCCAAGATGCCCAAGTCCGCCTTCACAGCCAAGCTGTCGGCGCCCAGACCGGCGTCGGGATCACCCATAAAGTTCGACGTGATACTCACCAACAGCGGGAACCACTACGATCCGAGCACGGGCAAGTTCACGTGCGTCCACCCGGGCGCCTACTATTTCGTGATGCACGCGTGCGTGTACTCGGCGAGCGTGTTCACGCACCTGAAGAGAAACGGGGAGGTGGTGCACAAGTTCCACAGCGCTTGGCTGGACAGCTGGCCCGGAGTGGCCCTGAGTGGCGGTGCCGTGCTGAGTCTCAAGGCGGGGGATCAGGTCTGGTTGGAGGTGCCGGATGCCCACAACGGCATCTTCTCGCGCAGTGATATAGACAGCTCCTTTTCTGGCTTTCTCCTGTCGCCCGAGTGAATCAGACTCGAGGGGGCAACAAGCGGCGTTAGCAGATAGAATTATGATGCTATAAATCTAAATGCATACTTCTCTGAAGGCGATCATCATTTATCAATCACTATTTGATTTTGGGAATAAAAAAACACCTTTATGAATGAATAATTTGATTTTCATGATTTAAGAAGGCTTCACGCTTTGCTGGCATAAATAGAGGTGTTATGTTGTTCTAAAATGAAGACATTCGATAACAAGGCACAAAGTATGCATTCACTACACAGACTTTATGAACAGCTCAGGTTAAGCAGTTAAATCTATGGGGCCCTTTTTGCCGGTCTCATTTAATAACTTTATACTGGTGTAAGGATAAATCTTGACTTAAAACTTTCGTGACTGCAGGAATTAATATTTTTTGGGTCTTTCGGTAAAGTCACGTAGATAGGTAAAAAAAATGACAAAAACTAGGACATTTTGATCGCAACACAAGCGATTGTCATCAGGTGGAGATGATGATGATCACTTGTGCTGCGATCGAAATGTCGTAGTTTTTGATATATATATTTTTAACCTATCTACGTGACTTTCTCCGAAAGACCCAATGAATATGGTGCAAGGATGTTAAGACATCCTTGGGTAGCGTCTTCCTAAGACATGGGGGTTACATGGATATCATAAACACCATAACCGCCACGAGGGGGCGCTACTGCATAAGGATAGCGAGTACGTGGCCTGCTAGATGGTTATTGGTTCTAGATTTAAAGCTTTCCTGACTGCTAGGATCCATACTCTTTGGTTCTATTGGGTAAAGCCACGTTGCTGAAAATAAAATAACAAAAAATCACGACGTTTCGGCCACAACACAAGCGGCCTTCATCAGGTGAAGGGACGAGACTGTCTGGAGGACTCCAGCGCTGTTCTCCAGACAGTCTCGTCCCTTCACCTGATGAAGGCCGCTTGTGTTGTGGCCGAAACGTCGTGATTTTTTGTTATTTTATTTTCACCTACGTGACTTTACCCAATAGAACCAAAGAGTATGGTTATTGGTTGTAAGGTTTGAAAGAGGGGGAAGGCGGGGATATTTGAAAGAGGCAATGAGGGAGGATCCGTCGGGGACTGTTCGAAGGGCAGCAGAGAAATTGGTTAGAAGGAAAGCATGGGCTAGGATTGGAGAGGGGGATAAGTAGAGGGAGGGGGAACGAGGGGCGCTCGGGAGATAGAAACAAGGGAATGGAGTTGGCTGGTGGTAGGCACTGGACATTGTTGTTGTTAAGGACAATAAACTTCATCCTTAGGAGTCCTTCACTGCACTGACAAAAAGGGTGCCAAAGAGGCAAATTTATGATTTTGTCGTGAAAGTATTTTTCTGTAAAAGTGAGATTCAATAATTCTGCGTACACCGGAGCAACTACTCACCTCCATAACAAAGTGGACAAATTGCTTGCCATTAACGTTTGTGAAGTGACGATTCTGTAAAGTGTATTCCTGAATGTGATTAAAGTACACTCCAAAACTATTTTATTGTACTGGTGTTGTTGTTCTCTCGCTGAGATCGCAACGTCTGCGATTCTTACCAAACGCCATCGTACGAAAAAAAACCTTTAAAGAAGAACCGACCTCGTGGTGTTTGTTTGAAACGTCGGAGTGCAGGCGCCTCTGGGTTTGTGTGTAATACAAAGCTGCATCTGTCGCAGAAGCCAAAAGGGATGCTCGCGTTGTGAACACCGATTCTCAATACACCAAAACCTTGCCCATCGTGGGCGGGTTCATCATCATCAGCATCACGATCTATGTGCAGATAGCCTCGTAGTTCTTGGTATCCAGTGCACATTTTGTAATTTGTTTCCACTTTCATCTGTCTTGTAGTGCCAATATACTCAAGTAGTGCACATTATAGCAGTGTATAGTGTAGTGTATAGTCGTTTGTAGTGGATTGTAAGTGTCGTGTATATCGCAGTGTATACTGCAGTGCATCATCATCACGATCCACTGGCAGATAGCCCCGGAGTAGTTGGTGTCCACTGCACATTTCGTCATTTGTTTCTACTTTCCTTTTTCTTGTAGTGCCAATATACTCAAGTAGAGCCACGTCTTTGTGGTACCAACCTCTTATGATGCTGTCGTCAAGCCGTTTTGTTAGGTCTTACTTTCTTTCCGATTCCTTACATTTTTCTTAACTACACACTTTTAATTTCTCTGTTGTGGTGGGGGTGGGGGGCGAGAGGCCGCACGCGTGCCCCGAGTGCGGCAGGGCCTTCTCGCAGCGCTCGGATTTAGAGCGAGACTAGTTTTTGAATTGTGTGCCGTGACAAATCTTATTCTGATTTTTTTTGTTTTTCCTAAACTTTAGCTAATTCGTCAATTACTCCCGCAATATATGGTATTTTATTTTGCTCAACGAAGTGGCTTATCATCGTCATCACGTGGATATTATAGCAGAAGCCAATTAACTCAAAATGCGTGATGTTGAATATAAACTAAACTGTGTTTTATTTTACTAGGTAAGGCCCCACTGAGCTGCTACGTGGTACCTCTTTTTCATAAGCAACGTGGCTATCGCAAACGATAGCTCAACCAAGTGGCTTATCACGTGGAAATGTAGAGCAGCCAAATCACTCGGAACGCGTGACATTGATTCCAAATGTGGAGGGGAAAAAGCGGAGGACCCGGAGAAAAATCCACGCGACCACGAGGAGAGAGAGACGCAAACTCCAAATCTTCAGCAGCAGGCATCCTCAGGGTTGGGATTGAACCCACGACTTCCTGCATATACGGCGAGGTAGTTAAGGTCTCCTAGCCACCGTGATGATGAGGAAGAGACGCAGACTCCAAGTTTACAGTAGCAGGCATTGTCAGGGTCGGGATCCAACCCACGACCTCCTGTAGACCAGCTGCAGCGCGTCTGAACATCACCGTTCGACGGTCGTGAGCTGCACGCGGACGATAGTCTTCCAATCGTTGAGCATGGTGGCCATCGCTTGACCGGTAAGCTGCGTGCTACATTAGCTCCAATAATATACAGCTGTTAAATCGATATTACTTGAATGTCGATCGACTGACAGGAACTCGGTAATGTTAATTGACTGTCGATTGAGTTGTTGGTGGAAATGAAGATGCGCACAGTGAAGACTTTGACATTGAAGTTGATTTAATTATATAAAATACTGGTAATACTGCGTAACACGATTTCGGTTCCTGGGTAGTAAATGTTATTTTCTAATTGCTTATGCCTCAAAAGTACAGAACATGGCTATTATTCTCCATAAACTTTGCTTTTGTGACCAGGACTTTATGTGAATGAAAGGCACAAATGCACACGTTTTCTCATTTCGAAATATCACTGTCCTGGTCACAAAAGCAAAGTTTGTGGGGAATAATAGCCATTTTCTGTACTTTTGAGGCATAGGCAATTAGAAAATAACACTTACTACCCAGGAACAAAAAAATTTGTTACACAGTGTAATCATTGCATATAAATTATTAACACTGGCGCGTAATCCCACTAATAGAGGAATTGAGAAGCGTTGTTGTGACTTGGAGAGTTTAGAGATCGCAATTGAAGGTACGAGACATTCACTTGACTTGAGACCCCCCGCTTTTAAGACCTTTATTCACGTAATTAGGACCTCCATGATAACGACCAAAACTCGTATCTACGACCGCCAAACAATTGGCGACGAGTCTGCGCATACCATGCGCTGCTTTGCACCACCACCTTGTGCATGTGTACAATGTAGCCCGACAGTTTGCAGCTGCGCCGAGAGCGAACGCAGCAGCCTTCTTGAGCAACGCTCTTTACTCTTATTCTTTGGGTCTTTCGGTAAAGTCACGTAGATAGTTTGAAAGAAAATTAAACAAAAATATTTCCTTTAGAATAAAAATATTTTCTTTCAACCTATCTACGTGACTTTACCGAAAGATCTAAAAAATATGAATTCCTGCAGTCACGAAAGATTTAAGTGAAGATCTGTTCACTTTTCTGTAAATTTTCTTAAACTTTTTTTTTATTTTTTTTTACATTTCACTTTTGCGTCTGAGGAGAGGAAATGTGGTGCACGTGCAGACAAGTACTTAAGGGTTTTCAAATGAAAGTGTTCGTTTTTACTTAATAAATGTTAGTAAAAGTTATGTTAAGTTACAATAAATATTTGGTAGGGCTAATAATAATTTATTTTCTTGATCAATTTGGTATTCATATTGTACATAATGGGTTGCCAGGAACGCAACCCCAATGTATAACATTGCGCCTACGGGAAACGAGGGGTTCGACTTACGACGGCTCGACTTGCGGCCGTTGCCCAGGAACCAATTCGGTTGTAGGCGCGGGGGTCGCCTTTATATTGTTTGCCATTTTTGCGCAGAAATCTAATAATAAAATGGCGTTGCGCCTCGTGCCTAGTTACTTTATTATTATAAGTGTAGATACGTAGTTGGGTGTCTCTGTGGGTGGCGCTAAGGGCACGTGACCGGAAGCGGGCCCCGATTGGACGAGCTAAGGGCATGTGACCGGAAGCGGTTCACGATTGGACGAGTTTAGGACACGTGGCAGAAAACAGTGCCTCGGTTAGACGAGCTAGGGGCACGTGACCGGAAATGGGTCTCGATTGGAGGAGTCAGGGGCACGTGACCTGAAGTGGTGTCTCGATTGGTGGAGTTAAGGACACGTGGCCGGAAGCGGGGGTTGGGCGCCGTCCTTCATACAGCAAGGGGCGGGGCCAAGAGATAAAGGGGGAGCGCCAGGGGCATTCGGGGCTCGTTCGGGGATCGAGCCAGCCCACAGGCACATAGTGAGCAGCCTAGGACAAGTTATCCACACTTAGCAACAGAACCCGGTGTACAGTGAATTGTTTAATAAACGTGTTGCCTCTTACAACAGTGTGTGTGCGCGCGCCTCAGTTGACATACACTGCACAAGTGTTAATAATAATTTGTTTATTTTGATCAATCGAACGGGAATCAATAGACAAAACGGAGTAGGAAGATGATTAGAGTGTTTTGGTGATGAAAACAGAAGTTGCTTTAGTAATTTCTGATCACATTTGGTATGTTTAACACGTAGGCTTTCGCGACCAATATTCCATAATCGAAACTTTTGGGTTAGATTGTGTAAATCTAAATATGTCGTCAAACCCGACACCACCCAACAAAGCCAATTGGTAAGGTTTGTCACGTAAACAAAGCATGTCACTTCTTTTGTAAATGCGAATTTTGTAGGTTTACTCTCCAACACACCGGTGTGCTGTACCAGTGAAGAATTGGCCAAGTTTTGTTTACATGGCAAACCTTTACTGATAGGAGAAATATTCACGCGACCATGGGGAAAGAGAGACACACACGCAAACTCCAAACACAACAGGCGTTAGGCTCGGGATCGAACCCACGCGACCTCCTGTATACCAGGCGAGGTAGGTAACATTCTGCCACACTCAACGGGCGTGGTTTGGGCTAATCTTTTCACAGCCC